CAATAAGTACATGATTTTAAAGATTATCAATGACTAAGAATAAAATTAACTGTAAAATGAACATACTTCAATAAAGCTCCTATTTTAATATGTGAGAGGATTGAGGTAAGTTTGTGCCATTAGACACAGAAGATAAAAGATCTCATCTAATGCTATCCGGTGTATGATGCAAGTCTATGTACTAAAACAGGAAATTTAAATAGTTTTCTACCCACACTATATTTACAGAATGCACACAGCTCTTAAATCAGTGAAGGCTTTCATTAAGCAGGACTGCTCCTATACTGTAGCCTGTCCTACTGTTATTTAAAAGTAATAATAGCTCTGCCACAGCAAATTAATGGAACAAAAAGCAAGATCGTATTTTCTTTCTTCAAGTCAATTTTGTTACATTTCTAGTAAAAATATGGCCTGGCTTCTTTTTGATTTCCAAGATAGATCAACTCCTTAAATAGTATGGTAAATTTCTGCTTTCATGTTTGCCAGCTTAAGTCTGATTTGATGCTACTGAAGCCTGTTTCTGAGAGGAGTTTGATCCTGGGCATTAACATTCTTATTTTTATTTCTCAACACAGTATCGATCAGAACACAAAAGGATGAATGAATTGCAATCAAAAAAAAAAAAAAAAGAAGAAATAGTGGAAAAACGTGTTAGAAGAACATTGCGGAGTTCCTCTATATTCAGGAAACAATGTATGTGTATTATTTTCGAAACATCAGTCTTGATCCTCCAGTTCATCAGAAAGAACTCATATTAAATATATGAGCAGGCCTTTCCTTTCCTCATGAATGTCATGGATTTGCTCCTAGCACTTCACTGGAGTTGGCAGTGAAGAAAAACCACAGTATGAAGTCCTGATTTTCTAGTCCATATCACATTCTGATTCTCATTCACTACCATTACACTGCATGTTAAATCTGGCACAGCAGGGGAATGTTTAATCTAGATATCGATCCGTTCCTGCTCCTCACCCCTTCCAGGAAGATTTTTATTATTCTTTGCAAAAACGTTTTACTACAAAATCTAAATTTGGAAGTTAAAGTACCTAAAGATGCCTTTTCAATGTTCATTTATGAAAAACATCCTAGTTAAAAGGTATATGGATTGATTTTTTCCCCCTTTTGGTAAGGGATTAATTAAAGATAAATTAATTTTGTTCCTCTACAAAGCTGTCTTACTGAAGGTGATTAATAAGAAAGGGAGAAAAATCAAAACGAATGCCCCTAGCATTTGTTTGAAGTGTGACTGTTCCTCCAAACACTTCCCTGTCGATGACTGTGGACTCCAACCAGAAACAGATTTCTGCTCACGTTACTAATGCAGAAAGTTCCCCTGACTTCTGAGGGCCTATTTTCATAACTAAGGCAAGGAGGATTTTGTTAGACAATAGGATAAATTTCCATTAAACAATGACAACAAATAAACTGTCCCAGGTGATTAGAAGACAATGTTTAACTACTTAACAGATTCTCTTCCTCCCATACACAAATAATCTGAAAGAGAATATTTCAGGCATTCAACAAACTGTAGCTTCAGAGATACCATTGTACCAAACAATTTTATTAATACTTCATACAAATTTCTTAAGTCAATAGTGGCTAATATTTAGATGTAGCTGAAGGCAAACCAAAGTCATAAACAAGTTTTCCTTATTTTACATTGGACTGGATGTTAAAAAGTAGCTATTCTTACTATAAACTAATCTAAAATAGGAATGATGGAAGCAGGGTAAAAACAATACATTTTGTTTTCTTGGCTTTATTTCAAAATAGAGTGATTATAAATACATTCTTTTTATTTTTCCTTCCCATCTCTTTGGATGCAACTGAAAAAAAAATCTCACTGTGCTCATTTCGTACAATATCAATGTACAAATCATGCAAAAAATATTATAGATATTATACCACCATCAAGTTCTGGATGTGTTTTGCTAACTCTGAAGCATTTGTTAACAGCATTCACAAGGCCATGCCGATCATAATTTATACCACCCTTATGGCTTTTTTCAAAAAAAAATCATGGAAAAACAATTTCTTGATATTAGATTTCAAATGTCTTTATTGGTAATCTGGAACACTAAATATAAATATAAATTGTCTTAACGGCCTTGCATACTTGCACCTTAATAGTTGCTTTCTGATAAAATTGCACATTTTTTTTTCATTTTCATTTATTGATTTCATTAAAAAAATGTAAACTTCTTTATAATACAATGAACACAACAGATTATGTTAACACCTTCACTGATTTAGTCCATGTCTATGGGTCTTAATGGCCATTTTACAAGCATGGCCACTCAAACCAATGTAGTGAGCGGACAGGTCTGTTCAGCCAAACCAGAAGATTCGCTTTCCCAGATGGGCTGACCGTAGATTTGAATGGACTTTAAACTAAAACTGCTGCATAGACACATAACACTATCTCAAACCATGGAGGAAATAAATTGACATCAAGGTTGTCATTCAAAACAACAATATCACAGAAAGAGTGTTTTGCCTGCTTCTCCACTCTTTTTACTCACATTATTATGCCTACATATTGCACCATACATGTAAAACACTACGGAACAATTTCTACGGGAAGGTCCAGACTGTGCAACCTTTACTGATGCTGGTGACCCTACACTCGACTGCGTAATCCCTACGGAGCCGCGGGACAGCTCGCGGGAGGAGACGGCTGCCCGTGTGCGCTAGGCAACGGGCTCCATGGATTATTCTTACACACGGTAACTCTTCTGCACCTGCTTCTTTTGAAGTCCATGACAAAACTTCATCTAAGACCCTCTCTTGAGCAAGTGCTTTGTTTTAGGCTCATGACCAGGACCGTGTGATTTAAATTAAGCTTGAATGCTTTACCAGTCCGAGGCCTCAGTGACTAGGAAAATATGATCTCGCATAGGTGTAACAGTACATAACAGTACATACAGCTCCTCTCATCAGCAAGTAGATGAAGAACGTCATCTTCTCCTCTTCTCACCTCAGGAAGAGGGGAAAACAAGCTCACTTTTCCTAGCTGAGGAAGGTATGCTGGCTTGCCAACTGTTCTTTTAACTCAGGGCAACACCTGACACGAGCACACAGTTTTTAACATCATCTCGGAGCCTTCATTTATTTGCTATTTTCAAATGCCTTTTTAACGTTGCCTCTCACCAGAAGGGTACGGAACGAGGCACGACAGCTCGTGACAACACGTGAAGGGTGTCACGAGCCTCGCACCTCGGCAAGCCCCCGCGAGCCTCGGCTCATCCCAAAAGCTGCAGCCTGGGCGCAGCGGGAGGCAGTGACCGTGATCCCCCCCAGCTGCCCCCAGGGCACCTCGAACAGTCCTCCAGCTGCAAACTCCTGAACAAGCTCAAATACTCTGTTTAAGGTCTTGGCAATGTGCTGTGTCAATGGGAATCCTGTATGCCAAAAATGCATATATGCATAGTGACCATCTCCTGAAAATCCCTATGACCTCTTGAATTAAGTTAAATTATTGTGCATGGACAACAGCAGCTTTTTGAAAGATCAACTGAGCCATTTATTTGTTATCATTTTATTATTTGAAGTCATTTATATACTGTATGTTATGGAGAAAATAATAAATCAACCCTCTTTCTAGGTTACAAGAGCATAAACAAATCTGTCTGAAAGTAGAAAATGTCTTTTTGTTTTCTTTTAAATAAAGTAGCTTTTTTTTCTTTTATTTTTTCCTTTAGCTTCTTAAAAAATATACTCCAGGCTGTTTGCCAAGTATCATACCAGAATAAAATTTTTACAGCAGTGTCATAAAGCCCTGAAATTAGAGGTTTACAATGCAAAAAGCTGATACAGCCTTCCCCACATTAGTGTGGGTCTTGCTGTAATATTTGCTAGTTTCAAATTCATGAAAAATATTCATGCTTATTACCTACTAATCTTGATTTATTTATTGACTATAAATGGTGGATGGGAAAAAAAAAAGAGTTCTGGAAGCAAAAGAGATAGAGGGTCTTATCCAAAGCTCATTGAAATACATGAAAAAAATACTGTTCACATCAATGAACTTATGTTAAGTCTCATAGTATGGATTTTCTGTGTGAGACTTTACCAAGTAAATCTCTACTCTCATCTCAAGCTACCATCTATCTATCTATCTGCGAGATAAAATGGGTATTTTCCATCTTCCCGCCTACTTTTCTTTTCCTAGCTATTCAGAATCAGCTTTCACAAAGGTTTTACTCCCTATACATATGAACTACACAATACTCTGAACTGAACTGAGACCACTATATTCATTTTACAGTGTGGTTTTAAATAGATGTGATTTGCCATACAGTTTACTGTTCTGATAGATTTTCTGATTGAGAGCAGTCAGACAGATAGTAAGAACCAAAACACTGATGCATATACAATGAAAATATTACCCTTATCATGAATTCCTGTAGATACTTGTAGTGAAAACTATTTCGATTAAGCTGTAGAACCCTGAAAAGCAAGACAACTGATGGCAAGTAATTGCCTGAGACACAATACTAAAAAACTAATGAATCTATTTTAAAATGCACCATTGGTAACAAATCTGAAATAAGATAATATGCTAATTTCACAAGAATAATACAGAACAATTTTATTATTATTATACCTGATCACTTAATTCTGGATAACGCTATACATTACATCCCCGGATTCTGTTTGGTATATTGTTCTGTTTTTATTTATATTGAATGATTAATGCATTGTGATCAGGAAAACAAGTCAGGCATATTAAATACATATTAAGGAGTACATATTTTCCTATTTAGTATACAAAGTATTTCATAAATATGAATTATATTACAAAAATAGTTTCTGCTACGCTCACACAGTAAGCACTTTGACAATTTTGGAAAACCCGTTAGGGTTGCAAGCGTTTCACGTAACTGAGAAGGAACTCTAGTTTTCTTCGGAGATGAGTCTTACAACAGATTCTGCATAAACATCAAGTATTTTCTTCAGATCACCACAAATGCTGCAGAAGTCAGGTTATGCTTTTTTTTAATTTTATGTATAGACAGGTATGTTTCAAGTGGTCAAATTTATTTCATCAGTATGTAATGCATGGTATATTTTAAACAAATATTTGCACAATTTAACATTATAATTCCAGTGGTTTCAAGATGCAGGCCATAAATGTAACCAATTTACACATACTATCGAATGTTCTCTCTTTGCATGCTTGTTACTTTTCAGATAATCTTTAAACAGTGCCATTACAACACCACAAATCAAAGGATTACTCCAGTTCCACCAACTTAAATCCACGTGCAGGATGAAGGACCCAGCTGAGGTACAAACACCAGTACCAGGTTTCTTGTGTTTGCTCTGACAAATCACAAGGAGACGAAGGTTTAGCATTTAAGGTACAAAACATATATGCCTCTTGAGGTTAAATTCAGTGTAATGTGTATAAAGCATCCCTTTGGCAATAGAGTTTGCAGTATCCCTACAAGATTCCACAGGGCATGAGCTTTATGTAGTAAAACCTATTAAGGAATTTCTCCTCTACTGACAAATCATGTGCAACTACCATTAATCAGTACCCTTGGATACCCCTGCCTCTATGCCTATCAATATAATATAGTATTTGGAAGTTAAAAGTCAACAAAAGGCACTTTCATCATTAAATAAATGTCCTCTGTAGGCAATAAGATTGCATGACCTATATTTTATTCAAAGCTGTTTGTTCTTCAAGGACTTGTAGATAGTCAGGTGAACCTTGAAGTTTAGCTTTTAGTTCAAAATATTCACTCTTTCTTTGTTCTACTACAATTTTACTATGATTACCACCTATTAGGGATTTCTTGTTTTTTTTGTCTTGTTGTTTCTCTGGGTAACGTATTTCAAAGCCGCTAACCCCTATACTGTTGTATTCTTTTTTACTTTCAAGAAAATTCTGAATAAATACATTGGAATCCCTCCCAGGGAATAATTCATCCAGTTCATCAATTGTGCTGAGTCTTTTTCTATCCACGTGCAACAAATCTTTCTCTTTGTCATTAATATTTCTCAGGATGACTTTTTGTCCTGGTGGATCAGCAAAGGTGAAGCCCGTCTCAGACTCCTTTAAGCCACAGGTATGGCTTTTGCTCATCTGCTCGATGGTTTGAGGAATGAAGGCCTCTGCGCCCAGTCCGTCTTTTTTGTTTGCTTTGTGGTCGTGCTTCCTTAACTGCAGTTGCATTGAACTGCATTCCTGGTTTCCCATCCCTTCATGCTTGACAGATGGTTTTTTGTTGCGCCGAAGCACAAAAACGAGAAGACAAAAAGCCACAAACACTGTTAAAATAAGCACAACTAATATGCTTAAGATGAGGATGGACAACGGAACTGGGCCGCCAGGAGCACTCCGTATTGGTCCCAGTGGTGTTGTAAAAGTGACGGCGGGCACAGGACTGGAGAACAGAGCGGATGGCTTGTTTAAGAGTTTGGGACAGAGGATCTCGTTTTTCAGAGACTTCAGTTCAATGTTAGCAAACTGTACAGGTGTTTCACATTTCAACTCCTTCACCACAATACCTTCATTTAGCTTTTCAAGCCACAGTTTTAAAGCAACTAAATCACACGTGCAGTCCCATGGATTACCTTCCAAATCAATTTGTGTCAGAGATTTTAGCTGATCAAGAACGCCACTTACAGGTAAATACATGAAATGGTTGTTCCTCAGATTCAGTCTAGCAAGCGGCGCACCAGCAAAAATGTAGGCTGGCAAGCTTCGCAGAAGGTTGTTGTTCAGGTAGAGCAACTGCAGGTTTGGCATCAAGTCAAAAGTGCCTGCTAAGATTTCTTTGATAACATTGTATTCCAAATATAGATACTGCAAATTGTGGAGGCCAGCAAACATTTCTGGGCTCAGGCGCTCTATCTGATTGCCGTTGAGATACAATCTCCGTAAATTCGTAAGGTTGCGGAAAACTTCTCCCTTGATTACTGAAATCCGATTGCTGCCTAGATGCAGTAAATCCAGCCCCTCGAACTCAGTGAAATCTGCCGTGTCCACGTTCTTAATGTAATTGCCATTTACGTGCAGCTTCTTGGCATTTAGAGGTTTCGGTATGAGTTCGGCCATCGTCTCTATATTTCTTTCTTGGCAATTTACACTTAATCCCAGGTCAGAAGGATGTGTTTTGCAAACACAGGGCACGGGGCAAGGCGTCAGAGGAGGCACCCTGGTCTGATAGGATACGATTTGACTGAGATTGCGATTGGACAGCGCTTTGCCTGCTACTATCCCCGAGATCTTGGAAGGATTTGTCGTTTTCGGAGGCTTTGTGACCAACCTGTGCACCGAGGTCTGCGTGGTGTGGCCGTTGGGGGTGCTGTAGCCTGGCTCCAGCTGCGCGGGAGGCAGGACGCGCACATCAAAGTCGCTGCCCGTCCCCATGGAGCACAGCTCTTGCTTGTTGGTTTCCTTCAGCAGCCTCCCGTACAGGTCGCTGGGTGTCTCGCAGATGGCCTCGCCAATGTAGATGTTGTAGGGCATGTTCTCCAGCCACGCTTTCAACGGCAACAAATCACAAGTACAATTCCAAGGGTTGTCTTCCAGCTGCAACTCGACAATTCGCCCAATGTGCTCCAGAACCCCAATGTATGGAAGCTTCTGTATTCGATTCCCTCGTATATCCAGATGGGTTAGAGAAGCAAATCGAAAAATATTATCAGGAAGGAATGAAATCAGATTGTCATTAAGGATGAGGACTTTCAGCTTGTGAAGCTTATTGAAGGCTCCCCGTTCAATAAACTTGATTAAATTGTAGTCAGCTTGGAGATACTCCAAGTTCTCTATGCCAAGGAAGGTATCAGCTCGGAGAATCTTTAATTCATTGTTGTTCAAGTGCAACTGCTTTAATGCACTAAGACCCAGGAATGCTCCTCCCTCAATGTTCTGTAATTTATTATTACCCAGTTGCAAGGACACTGCATGTGTAAAATTAAGAAAGGTGTTTGGATACAGAACAATTAGCAGGTTGTTTTGAAAGTTGAGGTGGTAAAAATTAGACCATGGTGGCTTAAGCTGATTCGGTCTGTAGACTGCAACCTTCTCACAGTTGACATAGAGTACATTCTCAACTGACACACAGGAGCAAACATTGCAAATTTCCACAGATATATCAGCATCTGCAGTTGTAGAAGAAACTGGAGATGACAGAACCAGAAAGAGCCACAGAAACATCTTCTTGTGATCAGCAAGCAACCTTAGACTCCTGAACAAAGATAAAGAATCTAAAGAAGAAAGAAGGAAAGAAAAGAGAAAATGTTTTTCAGTTGTCATTGTTCCAAAAAGCTGTTTGGGTTAAAAATTGTACTCCACTGAGCTACTGTACCTGCCAAGGATTATAGATAAACTACAAGCACTGAATTTCAAACAACATGAAAGGTTTTAACAACCCAAACAAATACTCGGGAGCCTGAGTTTCAAATACAGAACATAAATATCTGCAGACAAATACAAATAAGTTTGTATCAAATACATTTCTCTTTCTCACACACTAAACATGCATAGCTAGCAAAGTAGAATAACTAAAGGAGATTCCCATTTTATGCACATTTACTTTCCTCAGTACTGCACTGCTCACATGTTGCCGTGCATTTCAGGAGTGTTCAACAGAAAAGCTGAAGTTAGGCATGATCAAAAACCTGGGTTCGGAAAGCACAGTGTATGAAGGATGAAGCTGCTGACAAAAAAAAAAAAAGCAGTATCCACACTCAATGTATATGTACATATATATAATCGACGCATTCAGATACCACTACAGTAATACTGAGATTCACTCAAGGGATGCATAGGTATGCAAGCACATTGTTTCTGTCACTTATTTTACCTAGTTTAAGTAAATAGGTGGTAAATCAATCACTGAGATACTAGTAACGACCCGCAGAAGGAGCAGATCAGCTCTAGGCAGCCAGCGGAGGCACACGGACGTGGAAGAGCATGCACGGACATACGGTCCCATCCCCAGGAATAACAACAACACCCCGACTTACAGGGTGAAACAAAGTCACAATTCACCAGCCCGACACTACGGAAACCTGACAAGAACAACTTTTCTCTCTCTTTTTTTTTTTTTAAAAAAAGAAAGCTCCTGCAATTTGCTCTCATCCCTGCGCTGATACAGAGGTGGCTTTCAAGAACCCTTCACATACAGCCAGGCCAGCTGAGCTGCCATTTTTCACTCTGAAAATACCGAAGCTCCAAGATTTCCCCTGAGTTGCAGACTGTTTTTTTTTCCCCCCAAACAAATCAGTCAATAATGAATCGCTTTCCCCCTCCAACACACGCATCGTCCCCGTTCCCCCTCTTCCCAACTTGCCACTTTCCTGTCGCGCGGTGGGAAGCAGCCGAGTTGGAAGGAGGAAGCCGGGATGCAAGCGGAGGGAGCCGGGATGCAAGCGGAGGGCGCAGAGCGGCACCG